TGCTCCTCCTCTGCAGATGCTCCTCCTCTGCAGATGCTCCTCCTCTGGAGATGCCCCTCCTCTGCAGATGCTCCCCCTCTGCAGATGCCCCTCCTCTGCAGATGCCCCTCCTCTGCAGATGCCCCTCCTCTGGAGATGCCCCTCCTCTGCAGATGCCCCTCCTCTGGAGATGCCCCTCCTCTGCAGATGCCCCTCCTCTGGAGATGCCCCTCCTCTGGAGATGCCCCTCCTCTGCAGATGCCCCTCCTCTGGAGATGCCCCTCCTCTGGAGATGCTCCCCCTCTGCAGATGCTCCTCCTCTGCAGATGCTCCTCCTCTGGAGATGCCCCTCCTCTGCAGATGCTCCCCCTCTGCAGATGCCCCTCCTCTGGAGATGCCCCTCCTCTGCAGATGCCCCTCCTCTGGAGATGCTCCTCCTCTGGAGATGCCCCTCCTCTGCAGATGCTCCCCCTCTGCAGATGCCCCTCCTCTGGAGATGCCCCTCCTCTGCAGATGCCCCTCCTCTGGAGATGCTCCTCCTCTGGAGATGCCCCTCCTCTGCAGATGCCCCTCCTCTGGAGATGCCCCTCCTCTGGAGATGCTCCCCCTCTGCAGATGCTCCTCCTCTGCAGATGCTCCCCCTCTGCAGATGCTCCTCCTCTGCAGATGCCCCTCCTCTGCAGATGCCCCTCCTCTGGAGATGCTCCCCCTCTGGAGATGCTGCTCCTCTGCAGATGCCCCTCCTCTGGAGATGCCCCTCCTCTGCAGATGCCCCTCCACTGGAGATGCCCCTCCTCTGCAGATGCCCCTCCTCTGGAGATGCTCCCCCTCTGGAGATGCCCCTCCTCTGGAGATGCCCCTCCTCTGGAGATGCTCCCCCTCTGCAGATGCTCCCCCTCTGCAGATGCTCCTCCTCTGCAGATGCTCCCCCTCTGCAGATGCCCCTCCTCTGCAGATGCCCCTCCTCTGGAGATGCTCCCCCTCTGCAGATGCCCCTCCTCTGGAGATGCTCCCCCTCTGCAGATGCTCCTCCTCTGGAGATGCCCCTCTTTTGCAGACACTCCCCCTCTGTGAATTCTTCTCCTCTGTGTTTCCCCTCCTGTCTCCATCTCCCACCCTGGGACTGCAGAGTTATTTTCTTGGATCTGAAGTCCTTCCCAGCACAGTGAGACTGAGGCTCTCGGGGGCCTCTGGTGTGCTCCCCAGAGATGAGCTGATGGGCGTGGGCAGGTGATTTGGCTCACACTCTGGATGCAGAAAGCCTAGCTCTGCCTTCCCTACCTGATTCTCCATACATAATATGCGGGGCTTCTGACCCCTGGGGAGAACACCTGGGACTAAATATATCCCTGCCCAGGTCTGTGGACAATCTGAAGTCTTCACAGTGGACACCAAGAACAATATTCCCACACCTGGTTTTTGTTCTGTGTGTGGCCAAGGGGTCATTAAGTGAGTCACCGCTAATCCAGTTGCTAGGTGTTGACTGGCGGCTGAGAGGTTATGTGGCCCCCGTAGGACCTGCAGCTCAGAACAACAGGAGCCCAGGTCCAGGGCTGGAGCCTCACCCACCCAGAGACTTCTGCCCCATCCTCTGCTGAAACCATTGACAGTGCGCAGCAACCATGCGTGGTCCTAATAGTTGTTTGTGAGCAAACGAGAAGTGAGCTCCTGGCTCTCAGAGGCCCTAAGGGACAAGGACTTACAACTGCCCACCCTTGCCCAAGGTCACACAGGTGGGGGGGCGGGCAGCCTGGAGGTCGGCCTGGAGGAGGCAGCTGGGCCAGGCAGTGCGGGAGGCGGTGATTCCTCTCAGCTGCAGATAAAGTCCGCTAATGGCTTTTCGCTAATGAGAAAAGCCCGGCTGATTATGACAAATCGCTGGGAGCAGCAGGCTAAGCGGTGACACGCGCGCCACTAGCTGCCAGGAGGGGCCAGCCCCACCCACCTGCCTCAGGCCTGGGTGCCCCAAACTCCATCCCGCCCGAGTGGGCCTAGGTATGGGAGGGGGTGCGGCAGGGGCTGAGGGGAGGGGTGACCGCAGGGGGTGGGGCCTGGAGGTGGGAGGGCGTGGGGGGAGGGAGGAGCCCCCAGAACCCACGCCCCAGCCCCCCACCACACCCCACCTCATCCCCACCCCACGCGGCCCCCCTTAGGCTTGTCTGCTTCCTTCTTGTGTGTTTGTGTGTGTGGTCTGTCCTAAGGTGGGGTGGGGGCGCACTGGAATGCCTGCAGCCGCTGTCTGAACAGGCCTGGGGGCTTCCCAGGATTACAGCAGGAGGGCTGGGTTGGCCTGAGGTGGGGCTGCGGGTGCAGAGCTGGGTGTGGAGAGTGAGGACACCCCAGCCTGCGAGGGGGACAGGCCCACCATGAGCGCCCCCGGAGCCCTGGTGGAGTTGGCCACGGGGCTATGGTTGGAGACAGGGCGAGGGGCGAGAGAGCTGCCCCTGCCCCTTGGTTTCCTCCCTGCCCTGCCACAGAGGGTCTGGCTGGGGAGACACTCAGGCTGTCCTGGGTCTGGGGCCCTGGCCTCCCTCGTCTCTGTCTGGGGGTGGCGTGGGGTCAGGCTGGGACACACAGCAAGCAGCATGGCCATCCCTCTGCAGTTTTTTATGCAACCTTCCAGCTGTGGCAGACTGCCTTCTACCCACCCATCCACGTCCGTCCGCCCCTCTGTATCGCAGCTCTACTGGACCACAGAGGATGAGATGGCTGGATGGCATCACCGACTTGATGGACGTGAGTTTCAGTAAACTCTGGGAGTTGGTGATGGACAGGGAGGCCTGGTGTGCTGCAGTCCATCGGGTCCCAAAGAGTCAGACATGACTGAGCAACTGAACTGAACCGGACACCCAGCTCTGTCCAAGACCTAGGCGACTTCGACTTCCAGCCCATACACCCACCTGCCCACTCACAGGTGGCCTCCCTGGCCAGCTGCCCCCTCTCTGCCCTGTCTTTCCCTCCATCCACCGTGTCAGCTCCCAGACCCTGACCCCGGGCAGCTGGACCCAGGGACTCACCTTGCCTCAGCCAGCTACAACTGTGTCCCCCAGGGCTCTCTTCTAGGAGGTCCTAGAAGGTCCAGCTTCTGGAACCTTCTCTCTGGGTTCCCTGCCTTCTTCCAGGCTTCTCTGGGCCCCGGGTGCTCTCACAGGGCTGGACCCTGCCCCAGCTGAGCAGACTGGGTCTCCTGAGGGGCCAGGCCTGTAGGCAGCTGGGATCTGGGGAGACATGAGGTGTTATTTAAAGGGGGAATCCGGGTAGCTCTGTGGGGGGCGCAAGAAGAGGCAAGAAGGCGTAATGGGATTTTCCATGTGGAACGACCGTCTTATCTGGGCCGAGCGTGTCATCCATTACTGCTAATTACCCGGCCGGCCGCGCCTCGAGCCCCAGCCGCTTCGGCCAGGCGGGTGCTCCGTCCTCATTGTCCTCTCCGGCACCGCCCCTCGTGGCCGGGTGGGAAGGGCCGGGGGTCTCCCTATCGTCCCGGAGCAGCAGCCAAATGTCGTGGGCGCCCTCGTGATAGATGAAGCATGGAAATTAGTTCCAGAGTTTAACTGATAACCGCGGAGCATGGCTACATTCGGTTATGGCAGCCCTAATTGATGAGCTCATTAAGTCCATTATTAGAGAAATTGATTTCAAATAGGCACTTAGAGCGGGTTGCAGGAGGCAGGTGGGGTGGGAGCTCGGAAGGCAGAGGAAGTCACAAAAATACATAATGAGGCAAGTAATTTTATAGGTCTGTTTAATGAAAAGCCTCAGCAGCGCACTGGTGGCCGTGTGGGTTTTAGACACTCGTTTTATGTGCTGATAAAATTCCCTGTGCTGGGATCCATCCCGGCCCAGCCCACCGTCCTCCGTGGCCACCCCTAATCAATTAATTAACCCCGGCGAGGCGATCAATGAGTCAGTCACGCAGAATCGACACTGCCTCGCGTTGGCAGAGGCGGCTGGGCCGGGCTCACTTCCGTCCTCGTCCGCCGGCAGCTTGGCCCCCAGCCCTGCTCAGCCCAGAGCCCGGCCCTGGGGCGCCTGCAGCCCAGTGGCCGTGGTGGTGGGAGGGCCCGGGTCACCCCTGACTGCAGCCCAGTCCCTCCAGTCTGCGCTCTGAGGGCGGCTCCAGTGGCCCTGCCCTGGCCTGACAAGGTACCCCTGGGGGTGGGGGACGCTCAGGGCTCTGCCCAGCTCCGGCCGGCTCCTCCTGGGATCCTGACCCCAGCCTCCACACCCTGCTGGCCCCCAGACCCACATGCACACAAATGGATGCAGATACACATGGGCACACACAGTGGGCGATAGCGGATATGTCACCCAGATACCTGGAACCCCACAGGAGACCACAGGGACACACACGTGAATGCAGACGTGTACATGTATGGACACACAGGGATACTGACATGAACATGCATGGAGTCCCACACTCAGATGCCCATGCAAACACGCATGCATGGACACATGAGGACACACGTGGACAGGAACACACACAGGGCCTTCCTTCCGAGGCCATTTCTCTTGTCCCTTCCTGGGTTCCAGGCGGCTACGTCCAGCGGTTCCTCCGTATCTCCACTGGGTGAAAACCCACCCTGAGACCCACTCTGCCCCCCAGGGCTGCCCCGGGCCAGCCTTCCGTCCACGGCCAGGGCTGCAGGAGCCACTTCCCAGCCCTTGGCCTCCCATGCTGCCCCGCCTGCCTGGGCCTACCTCCTGCCCTCCGAGAGGAGGAGAGTCCTGTGCAGGCTGAGCCAGGGCCTCTCTGCCCCCGAGGTCTGGGCTCAGCCCTCTCTGGTCACGCCTGCCCCCGCCATGTCCCAGCACCCACTTGGGGCCTCCCCCCCCGGCCGTCCCCACACCCAGGGCCGCCTGCCCTCGCTCTCCTCCCCGCACTGGCCTCTCTCCGGGGTTCACCTTTGCCTAGGAGGCATGGGTGAATCACAGTGTCTGCGTCCATCCCCGAGCATGCGGCCCTGCAGGGTGGGGGTGGCTTGGTCAGCTCTCGCCTGATTCCCGCATTCCCAGAACAGTACCTGGCGTGTGCAAGGTGCTGGTGAGCCGGGACGGGCATTCAGTGTACACACTGGGGGTCTACACGCCAGGGGTCTACGTGCCAGGGATCTACACGCTGGGGGCTTTTCCGCCGGGGCCCTACCCACTGGGGGCCTACGTGCCGGGGGTCTACGTGCTGGTCAGAAAATACTGCCGGTAAGACACGGCAACAAACTAACTCTTGTTCCGTCAATAAGATCGTTCGAGCAGCCTCGGCAGGTTTGGGAGGAGAGGCAGGGAGATGGGGGCGGGAGTTCTCAGCCTGGGACCTGGGTGCTGACCTGCGAGGTTGAACACAGAGGATTCAGGAAAGAACAGATGAGGCGCGGGTTCCCACGAAGGGTCTGGGGCTGGAAAAGTGGCTTCTTGGTGCTGGAGGCCGGGAAGGCCGAGGAGGGCAAATGTCCTGCGGGCAGATGTCTGGCAAGCAGGGGTGTGGCTGGTGCTGCAGGAGCCCCGGGCTCTGCTCCCCACACCCCCCACCCTGAGCCTGAGGCTGCCTCTCAGCAGCTGAACCCCCATGGGAGCCTGTGGGCGGGGCGCTGGGAGCAGGGCCTGAGGGTGCCTGCCTGGAGCGAGCAGCCAGCATCCCTGCCTTTAATTTCCAGGCAACAGAAACCTCGTGTTGCTGCCCATGGAGGCCCCACCCACCGTGCGTGCACACGGGGGCCCTGCCCCGCCCCAAGCGGGAGACCCGGCCCTCCGAGGGGCTCCCACGGGTGCTGACACCCCTGGGTACTCTGTCACCCGAAGCTGAGACATCAAGCAGCATGAGGTGAAGGCGCGGGAGGGCGGGAGGAAGGGAGGAGGCAGAGCCCAGGATGCTGAGGGCCGCCCGCTGCCTCGTGCCAGGCTCCCTGCCCTCAGGGGGCACCCCAGGCGCCTGCCCCTCCCTGTACAGGTGCCAGCAGGTGGGGTTGGGAGGGCTGAGAAGTCGGAGTCACTTCCAGCTGCATCGTGTGGGGGAGACAAGTCTTGACTCCCTGAGTGGGCAGGATGCACACCGCGTCCTCATCTCTGGCCGCTGCTCCCTGGGCTGTGGTGGGGAGGACAGGACAGTTCAGCCCTGGTTCTAGTGACAGGCTGGGGCAGAGAGGTGCACAGGGCAGCCTGGCATGCAGGGACTCCTTCCCCAGCCAGGGCGCCCGGGGGTCTTGGGTCAGACGTCCCCAGTGTCCAGCTGAGCCCTCCCCCTGATGTCCCTGCCCCAGCCCAGGGTCCTCCCCTCAGCCAGGGCGCGAGTGTAGTCACAGGGCCATAGGGCCGGACAGGAAGTCCGACACCCACACCCGCTCCAGGGTCCGGCCTGCAGCTGCGAGCCAGCGGTCACGTCCAGACGCAGCCGCGGCTCCGACTCTGACCACGCCCCGGCTTTTGCGTGAAGTCTGCCCACACTCCCTGTGTTTTAACACACGCAAACACTGTTGCAGTAAAACAGACAAACCCAGCTAATGAAGAGAGCGTTTGTGACCGGCTCAGCGGGCCGGACGGGGGTCACTCCCAGGTGTGCTGGCAAGGCTGAGAGGGGCTGCAGCGGCCTCCGTGGGGAGGTGGGGCCTGGCATAGGAGGTAGGGGGTCGGGGTTGGGCATCTCTGGGCCCTCAGGGCCCCCGGGAAAGATCCTTCTTGGCCCCTCTGGCCACCCCCACCCCCCAGACCAGAGGATCCAGAGCTGCCGGAGTAGTCCTGTCCACCCAGCCGGCCAGGGCTGCCGGAGGGAGACCGAGAGCTGGGTCCCCGGGGTGAGTAAACGTCCTCATCTCAGGCCTCCGGGGTCAGCAGCCCAATCGGAGAAAAAACGTTAAGCCTAGTCCTTCATAAAACACACCCTCCCAGTCTCTCTTGGTTCTGTGGGTCCTCAGAGCCCATTCACACTGGTTTGTGGGTGCAAACAGGGCCGTTCTCCCAGCGCCAGCCTGCGGGGTGACCCAGGGGGTGAAGGCTGCCTGGGGCTGCAGGGCCAGCCACCTGGCCGGCAGCGGGATGCCCGCTCATTCCTCCACTCCCGGGACCCGCGTGGAGACGAGACAGATGACAGAAAAGCGATTTACAATTTGGCCCGTTCTGTTTCCAATTAAAGCATGGACATTAGTTAATATGCAGGGCTGGACTCTCAGGCGGAGATAATGTGTAGATAGGTCCATAAAACTCTGCCAGGAACAAATAATTTTTGCACAAATTTGCAAACAGTACGTTTTTTTGTAAATAACCATAATCTTTCTACCAGCCCGGCTGCCGATTAGGCATTTTTTTCCTTCATGATAATTTAATGACGACCTAATTTACCTATTGTTGCTGGGCCTTGGGTGCAGCCAATGTGATTGTCCAATTTAGTCCAGAATCCATCCTGATGGTGTTAATTCATATTGACCAAGTGTTTACAAATGGAGCGTTTTCCCCGTTGTGCCTGATGGTGAGCTCGCTAACAAGCCTGCCCAGCTGATTCGGCACCCAGCCTGCCCGCCCCCAGCCCCCTCGTCGGATCTGGGGGGCAGGTGCCAGGGCTGGACAGGGTGCCAGGCCAGGGGCCGCGGGGCGGTCTGGGGAGGCCGTAGAGGGGGTCCTGCTCTGGCCAGGCTGCCTGAAGAGAGGGTGACGGCGGGGGGGAGAAGGAAGGAAGGGGGGGACCACTGCCACCTCTTGTGCTGTGAGCCCGGGCCCTGCCCAGGGACTGGTGAGGGTGGAAAGGCGGCGTCCCCGGGGGGCCAGCCTCCCACGGGGCTGCCGGTGGGTGAGTGAGCCTGTTTGTCCCTTTGCTTGCTCCTTATATCCCAGCTATTTCCTGGAGCTTCTGACGCAGGTGCACTGGGTGGGGGGGGGGGTCTGCTTTGCCCCCAGGCCCGCCCTGGGCTGGGCCAAGGCAGGTGGCCGGTCCGCCCTTGCTGGGGGCCCGGATGTCTTTGATCCCATTGCTCCGCCGCGCCGGACACCCCGCCCCCTGGGAGGTGCTTAGAAGCACCTGGCCAGTGCTCGCGAGGGTCGCTTTGATCATCGCTAATTTCCTCTTCCCATCTGATCCTCACAACTTCACCAAGGGTTGGCCGCGTGGATGGAGGGGAAGGAATGCTCGAGGGTAGACCGTCCCCACAGTGGCTGCAGGGCCTGCACCGAGGACGCAGACTTGTCACTGTTCAGCCGTCCAACACCGGGCACCATGGAATCTGCGGACAGATGATCGAACGGAGGGGCACGTGAGGTGATGCCAGCCAGCTGGCCGGGCGGGTTGCTGGGCAGGTAGGTGGCTGGAGGTGGCCCTCAGAATGGACAGTTGGGTGTGTGTCCGGGTGGGTGGGTGGCCCGATGTGCCGGTGGTTAGGTCCGTGGATGACCGAAGGGTGAGTGGATGGCTGGCTGGACAGCAGGTGGGATTTTTGGGCAGGTGATGCGAGGGTGGGTGGGTGGATAGATGTGTGGGCGGGCGGACAGGCATGCCAGGGTGCGTGGATACTGGGGGGGCAGTGGGCAGGTAGGTGGGTGGGTTTGTGAATCAGTGGGCGGGTGGGTGAGGTGGTGGACTGTGGATGGTGGGTGGGTGGTCTGATGAGTGAATCACTGCGTGGCTGGTGAACGAGCGGGTGAGTGGGGACAGAGGAGGGGTGGGTGGGGGCTGGTCAGAGGCTGGTCAGGGCAGGGAAGCAGCCGTGGAGGGGCTGGCAGATGGCTCGGGGCTGGGTGGGCACCGAGGGGGTGGTGGGTGTGTTAGTGGATGGTGGTCTGCAGGGGCAGTGGGGAGCCTGGGATGCCGTGGGCCGGGGGGTGGGGGCTTTCCCAGGCATGTGCCCCGCCCCAGCTCGGGGGAGCCTCCTGAGGTCAGACTCTCCCGACCACGGTGGTGACAGCCGTGTTGACTGTGCTCCCGTGTCTCTGGGGCCGCGGGTGCCCCCTCTCCCCGCAGAGCCTCCTGGGGGCCCCCTCTCAAGCCCCCTGCCCCTCAACCACTGCCTCCTGCTAAAAAGCCAGATTTTTCTGCTATTTGCGCTGCTTTTAATCCATAGGAAGTCAATTTTCCACTCATATATTAGTTTATTTTATATTTTCAAATTGATTCGACTACACATTGATTTCCTGTTGTGGCATTGTGTCCTGAGCAAGGATTACGCGCTGGGGAAGTGGAGACCAGTGGCTCACGGAGGGTGCTCTGCGCCCGAGAGCTCTTATCTTGAAAAGGGAGAGTCCAATTTTATTGAAACAGCTAAAATCCCGCTTAATTGAATTTTTTTTCCTTTAAGATGTACAAGCTTAGAGACTTTTGCTTTCCAATTCAACTCAGGCTCCGCGGCGTTTAAATTTCCAGACCCCATAAAGGCCTTTATGAAAAAGACCCAGCAAACATTGTATTTCCGAGCCGAGCCGCCCCGGCTGGAGCACGGCATCAATATTCCGAGGGGACCCTTGGTCCCGCGCCGTGCGTGCCACGTGACTCCTGCGGGAGGCTCCCCCGGGCGCCCCACGGTCCTGGCCCCAGGGCAGGAGCGGCCACCGGGGTCTGAGTGCTGGGCCAGGCCCCCCCACATCCTGCCCTGCTCTTGAGGCTGGGTCTCCCGCATCCCCAGACAAGACAGCAAGGGCTCCCGAGGACGGCGGCTCGATGCACATGTTCTCACACCCATGAGCCTCAGGCCCCGAAACGGGGGCTGCCTGCCCTTGCCCCAGACCCTCCTGGGATACAACGCCCACCTCGGCCCGGACCCTCCTGGGGTTACGACTCCCACCTCAGCCTGGACCCTCCTGGGGACACAAGCCCCCCACCTCAGCTAGGACCCTCCTGGGGACAGAGCCCCACCTCAGCCTGGACCCTCCTGGGGGATGGGGAAACTGGTGGTGTGGATGGGCAGCGGCCGCAGGCGTCTGAATTGGGATCCTCGAGTGGCCTGTTCCATGTGGTCTCCATCCACCCCTTTCTTCTTCAGCAGACGTTTCCTGGGCGGGCTCTGGGGTTCTGAGATGTCCCCAGCCCTGGGGGAGCAGACATAAAGGTAACCCAGGGCTGGCGGAGCCCAGAGCAGGGCTGGTCAGCTCCAGGGTCACTGCTGAGCGCCGGCCACTGGGGGTGGCACACGGGCCCAGGATGGGGGTTGCTTCCACCCTGCGGCCCTCAGTAGCCTCCGCCTCCTCCCCAGCAATCCCCAAAAAGGAGGGCCGTCCCCTCCCTTGTCCCCAGGTCATTTCCCCTCCAGACTCACATGCCTGTCATGCCTGCTCCCACCACTGGGCACCCCCTCCACCGCCTGGCGCGGGTGGGCCTCTTTCTGTACGAGTGAGTCCTGTTGGGGTCCACTGCTGGGTCCTCAGGGTGGCCTCCAGGAGGACCTCCCCCAGCCCTAGCTAGGAGGCTTGTGGCTGTGGTGGCGGGGCCTCTGAGGACCTCAGCCTCTCCTGCCCTGGGCACCGCGGCCCAGCCCTGCCCGCTCCCGCCTCCTCCCGCCCTGGGCACCGCAGCCCAGCCCTGCCCGCTCCCGCCTCCTCCCGTCCCCGAGGCCTCCCAGTACGCGTCTGAACACGAGGAGGGCCCGCTCGGCCAGCGGTCAGAGTGCATTTTAATAGTGGAATGTGATTCCGGGGCAGCAGAAAAATGAAAGTGAGAAGTCTATGAATTATTACAAACGCACTCCATCTCTGCGGCCGTGTGGCGGGCCCTGGGCTGGAAAGCCTTTTTCTCTCGTGTTTAAGTTAGCGTGGAAGATGGAATAGTCACAGAGACACACTGGCCACTCCAACCTGTTATTGCTGCTCTGAGTCCCTATAAATACTTTTCTGATTTATAGCCTCGCTCTGCTTTATAAATGGAAAACCAGAAATGCCTCCAAGAGCAACTTTTCGAAGCCCGCGGGGTCCCTGCCCGTCCACACCCGCTTGGGGGGAGGCGCCTGCCGGGAGCCTGGGGCTGGGCTCCGCACGGGTTTGAACAGGTTACCAGTCGGGCCTGTGTTCCCTGGGGCACATCCAGCGAGAGCCACGCACCCCAACAGTTCACGAGGTGCTTTCTGGTTTGCTTTGGGGAAGGATATGGGCATGCACACACGTCAGGCACATCGCAGCCTCTGCAGGCTCGTGTCCCAGAGGGAGGCTCGCGTCCTCGGTGTCCAGGCCCCCCTGGGCCATTCCTCAGCTCCCAGCACTGCCGAGGGCCAGGGGCCCACCTGATGCCATGGAGCTGCCCCTGAGAGACGGGCACAGCACCCCCACGCCCAGCCTTGAGCCGAGGAGCGAGGAGGCTCAACTGTCCTGCAGTGTCCAGTCTGGCACCTGGCGCAGAGCTGGCTCAGGGGATGCCAGCCCCGACTATGGGTATTACAGTCATGCAGAGTGTCTGGGAGCCTGCGTCTCCTGGAGACCCAGTCCCTCGTTCCCGGTCATGAGGCACCACAGTAGAGCCGGGAGCCGCGGGGCTCCCTCCACCGGCTGCATCCCCTCCGCCAGCCAGCCTCACGGGGCCCACCTGGGGGGTCAGCACCCAGAGCCACCCCAATCCCGGGGCTATTCTTTTTCTTTTTAATTTACTTTTTTATATTGGAGAATAGCTGCTTTACAATATCATTATGGTTTCTACCACACATCAGCAGGAACTGGTCGTAGGTAACACGTGTCCCCTCGCTGTCGAACCTCCCTCCTGCCTTCCATCCTGCCCCACCTCGGGGCTATCCTTTTTTTTTTTATAAAAAAGCTATAAGCTTTTATTTTTTTCCTCAATTATTTTTATCAGTTGGAGGCTAATTACTTTACCGTATTGCAGTGGTTTTTGCCATACATTGACATGAATCAGCCATGGACTTACATGTGTTCCCCATCCCGATCCCCCCTCCCACCTCCCTCCCCATCCCGTCCCTCTGGGTCTTCCCAGTGCACCAGCCCCGAGCACTTGCCTCATGCATCCAACCTGGGCTGGCGATCTGTTTCACCCACCCCACCCCGGGGCTATTCTTTACGACATCACGGGTTGCGGGAAAACTCGGTGTGGGGTTAAAGAACTGAAGGACTCGGGCTCGCTCTGTGAAGTCTGGAGTCATCTGGAGAATATGAGCCTCTTGATGAGAAGCGGGACTCTGCTACAAACCAGAAAGTCACAGGCCATCGGGCCGGGAGGGGGGCTGCCTGCCTCTGTGTCCTGACTGCAGACGCGGCATTTCCAGAAGACAGTTAGCAGGGGCTGCACACCCTTTGGCGGCTGCCCGGCTGCTCCCCGCAAACCCCGGGCCTGCACCGCTGAGGCTGTGAGTGAAAGTGCTAGTCGCTCAGTCGTGTCTGACTCTTTCCGACCCCGAGGACTGCAGCCTGCCAGGCTCCTCTGCCCACGGAATTCTCCAGGCAAGAACACTGGAGTGGGTAGTTACTCCCTTCTGCAGGGGGTCTTCCCCACCCAGGGATGGAATCCAGGTCTCCTGCGTTGCAGGCAGATTCTTTACCGTCAGAGCCACCCGGAAGGACCCCAAGGCTGCAAGGGAGCACAGGGAATGAATCGCCTGGGGCCAGATGTGGTT